GTAACAATTGCAATAGTGGATAATTTTTCAATGCTATTAATAGAAAGAACTTCTTCTACTTTATTTTTAAGAAAGTCACTTATATGATGATATGCTGACAAATTAAGAATATCTAATATGAATTCCTAATACTCTTTAAAAGCCATAAATCTATATATGAAATTTCCAGTATTGTTAGTCCGTCTATCCAAGAAGATCGTAAGGTCCATAAGAGTAGGAAGTGTTTTTAATTTATGCTGAAGATGATCAGAAAACATCTTGATCAAAAGGCACCCTTTGATCATATCTCAGGAAGAAAGGTTGTATAAAGGGTTTAGTTCACAGAAATAATCCTGTAAATATAGATTCTTGACAAAGCAAAAGAGAATATTTTCATAGATAATAGCTTTTAAAAGCCTTTGGTGAGTTTTTCAGTTTGGTCTTGGGAAAAAGATCGAGTATACCAATTAATAATAGTATTTTGTGTAGATGACTGAGATGTGTTTTCATAATCTTCTTGATCTTGATCAATAGAAATATCATCATTATTACGAATATATTTATAAGTTGTGGTATTTTCACTCACAACTTTTTGAAGATAAATAGCCTTTTCAGTTGAATGCCAACTATTACACCGAAGTATATATTAATGAAGTTTTTCAGGCTTGCCAATTATTTCACTCAAACAATATTTATATTTTGCATTATATCTGTTTCCTTTTTTTTTATCCTCAGAATGATAGAAGCTATACTAATGCTGACCTTGTGTTGTGAGTAGTAAAGCAAAGCCCAGGGTAGTTGCATAGTAATAAATATTTGGTTCAGGTTAGGGTTAGAGTTAGCTATTCTGGGTAGCAGGAGTATAGTAATTTATTATGCAGTAATTTTGAAATTACTTAAATATTATAATATAAGGGTTAATGATATATGAGTGATGAAAATAAATGTGTCAATTTTTTAAGTTGTATTATTAAAGATTAGAGATAATTTAATTCAAATAAATAAAATAAAAAAGATTTAAATTTTAAACTTATTAAAGTAAAAAAAATATGATTTTTAATTTATTTATTTAACATTCAATTTGAACATTGATTTTATTCGAGTCGAAAAAATACAGCTTAAATATATTTTTTTAAATCCTACATTTTACAATTTCAAGTTCTTCTTACTTAATATTATGCATGATAACTCACACCATTTTCTAATTTATATCCCTCTAATAAGTCTAAATATTACCACAGCCCAAAGTTTTCTCTATAACATTATGTACAATAACTTATGCCATTTTATTTTTATCATGACCCCAAAGTTTTTTCTCTACATAATCTTATATACAATAACTCATGCCATTTTTTAATTATGCTTCCAATAATTATTATACACAACTACTTGTATTTGCTGCTCATGTCAAAATGGATTCATGTTCTATCAGGCAGGGCTTAGAATAATTATACCAGTGGAATTACCTCTTCAATAACAATTATAGAATCATAAATTCTTATTGTGTAATAATGCTTTTCACGTTGAAATGGCTTTGAGTATACATTTGACTTATTTAAACAGGCTTAAAAATATCATAATAGCTAAATATGGGGCAATACAATATAAAATATATAAAAAGTATACCAATATGCATGGGGATATTCAATTTGGCCCCAACGGCAACTTCAAATATATCAAGGTTAATCCCAATAAAGCATGATCTTCTTAAATGTATTCAACTACAATTAAAAAGTTACTGACTAAATAAAGTGTTCAGATATAATATGTACATATGTAGTAGCAAAAGTGTAAATTATATTTATATTAAAAACTAGTTTGATATGTCTTTTTATTTAAACTAGTGTGATCTAAAATTTGGGTACCCTAATTGGTTTGTAAAGCTGATAGCCAATCAGCATGTTGCATTCAGCATGTGACAGAGACATGCCTTTTGGCCTAAAGGCATGCCCCCAGGCATGCCTCCTGGGCATGCACAATAACCTGTGCTCCCGATCCTAATTATGATTTTATTTTTATGTGTTTGTTTTGATTTACTAATTATAATTTTATTTTTACATATTTGTTTTAATTTATTAATTATAATTTATATTTTTTGTGTTTGTTTTGATTTATTAATTATAATTTTATTTTTATATATTTGTTTTGATTTATTAATTATGATTTATATTTTTTGTATTTGTTTTGATTTATTAAATATGATTTTATTTTTACGTGTTTATTTTGATTTACTAATTGTGTTTTATATTTTTATATATTTATTTTGCTTTACTAATTATGATTTTATTTTTATATATTTGTTTTGATTTGCTAATTATGATTTATATTTTTACATATTTGTTTTGATTTACTAATTATGATTTTATTTTTATATATTTGTTTTAATTTACTAATTATGATTTATATTTTTATGTATTTGTTTTGATTTACTAATTATGATTTATATTTTACATGTTTATTTTGATTTACTAATTATGATTTTATTTTTATATATTTGTTTTAATTTACTAATTATGATTTATATTTTTACATGTTTGTTTTGATTTACTAATTATGATTTATATTTTTATATATTTGTTTTTATTTACTAATTATAATTTTATTTTTATATGTTTGTTTTAATTTACTAATTATGAATTTATTTTTATATATTTGTTTTAATTTATTAATTATGATTTATATTTTTATGTGTTTGTTTTGCTTTATTAATTATGATTTTATTTTTACGTGTTTATTTTAATTTACTAATTATAATTTATATTTTTATGTATTTGTTTTGCTTTACTAATTATGATTTTATTTTTATGTATTTGTTTTGATTTACTAATTATGATTTATATTTTTATATATTTGTTTTAATTTACTAATTATAATTTTATTTTTATATGTTTGTTTGTTTTACTAATTATGATTATATTTTTATATATTTGTTTTGGCTTTACTAATTATAATTTTATTTTTATGTATTTGTTTTAATTTACTAATTATAATTTATATTTTTATATGTTTGTTTTGATTTACTAATTATTATTATATTTTTATAAATATATTTTTATTTAATAATTACAAATAGCTTTATATATTTATTTTTTATTATTTATATATACCTTTTTAATGTATTTTTTTTTATATTTTTATATATTTGTTTTTATTTTATATTATTTATTAATTATATTTTATATATATATTTTTTTTGGTATTAAGGTGACCTCTTTAGCCATGGGGACTCTTTATTAGTAATCATTTACTATTATAGTTACAATGAAGATACAACTAGCCACATGTGCACCTTTTGAATACCGATTTAAGTGGTCCACCTACAGGTTCTACACTAGATGCTGTATCTATAATCTAACTAGAGAGTTACCCATTTAAACCTTCTGATCCTAACCATTTTTAGCATATTTATATTTTATATATTTGTTTTTATAGTTTTATATATATATATATATATTATTTAAAAGATATATTAATTTAAAATTAGTATAATTTTATATTTAATTATAGATTTCTGAATTAATATATATGTAGTTGCTGATACTATAAATAGCAAATTGGCAATTTGCTAGCATATATATTAATTGAATTTAAAATCCATATATGATTGTTGATAGTGTAAATATAGGTAGTAAAACTTCTTGTAAGCTCTAGCTATATAAAAGTGATAGATAACTATCTTGCTAAGCCTGCTGGCTTATATTTTTTATAAAAGCTTTATCTTCTAGCTTGCATTGAGATCATTGCATTTTAACTTCTTTTATTGTTATTTTTTTTATTTTATTTTTAATTAATATATATGTAGTTGCTGATACTGTGAATAGCAAATTAGCAATTTATTAGTATATATATTAATTAAATAATTAATATTAATTATTATTTTTTTTATATTTTATTTTTAAACTTTTTTAGATTTAGAATAATTATAAATATGCTACCAAAAAGAAAAAATCCTCCAACTTCACCTCATATTGCCAATGATAATAGATATAAATTATCATTAATTTAAGAAACTAAAAAACAAAAAACTAGAAGATTAGATCAAAAATAAAAAGCTGTTACTAAATAGTATAAAGATCATCTAAATTATATAGTTGAATCATCTATATCTACATCTGTACCTTTTACTTTAGCACTATCTTTATCAACATTTTTAGCAACAACTTTAGCAACACCTTTAGCAACAACTTCAGCAACAACATCAACAACAATTCCTGCAACAATTCTAGAAACAACTTTAGCAACAATTCTAGCAATATCCCAAGCAACAACCTTAGAAATTAGTACTACAACTTCTTTAATAGCAAATTTGGAATCAGTATCAGCATCAAATAGATCACAATCATTTATTTCAGCAATACTTGCTAAAGTTTTTAATAAATTAATATCTTTAGATTTATCATCTAATTTAGAAAAATGAAAATATTTTTGTCTTAAACAACAAGAATATTAACATCAATTAACAGAAAACCAACAATTTCAGATAAGAAAAACAAATAGAATTCAACATTCAACAAGTAAATTACAACAATTAAATAAATTTAATAATATTGCAAAATGTAGTTTAGATAATTTTACTTTAGAATTAAAGAATGATTTTGATATTTTAGAATAGCAGCATAAGCTTGACAGAATGAATATTAGATGTATTTATTGTCAAGCTCTAAAATAGAAAGATGAAACTTTAGGATTTTGTTGTACTAATAGAAAGATTCAAATAGCATTGCTTGAATCACCTCCACCAGCTATATTATAGTTATTAACTGAAATAGATATTAATACTGGTGAAAGATATATTTAAAAAATAAGATCATATAATTTTGCTTTTGCTTTTACATCTTTAGGTGTAATTTAAGATGAAAGTATATTAGCAGTAGATAAGCCTTAGATTTTTAAAATTCAAGGAGCTTTATATCATAATATAGATTCTTTAAGACCAGTATCTGGATTGCCAAGATTTTCTCAAATTTATTTTTATGATAGTGATTTTATACTCAGTTTGAATAAGAAATCAAATTACACCAAATTTAAATTTAAATATAATAAGATCTCTTCAAACTGAACTTAAACGTATTAATTCTTTTGTCCAAATTTTTTAAAGAGCTAGACAATAAGCTTAAGTTAATTCTCATTTGAGATTAAAAATTTTTTTAGTATATAGTCAAGATATGTGAACTTATAATATACCTACTGCATCAGAAATTGCAGCTATAATTAATGATAATAATGATATTAACTCTGGTAGAGATATTATTCTTACTAAAAATCAGGGTTATTTGCAATATATATCAGAATTACATGGTGCTTATGATCCATTATAGTACCCATTTCTTTTTTCAAGAGATAAATTTGGATGGCATCCTGATATTTTGCATACTGTTAGAAATGCTAATTTAGATTCTAATACTAATGAATTAGAAGAATCTTTACTATTAAATCCTAATAGTTCTAATAGTTCTCAGGCTAAGCAAAAACATATAACTATTAGAGAATTTGCATGTCATAGATTACAAATAAGAGATCCTAATAGTATTTTGCATCTTGTTAGATATTTTATTTCAATAATATATTGTTAATCAATATGCAAAATATGAGCAAAATAGCTTAAGATAGTATAGAAAAAATCAAACACATCTAAGAGCTAAATTTTATAAAGGATTAGAAGATATTGTTAATAATAATGAAGTTGATCCTTCAAATATTGGAAGAAAAGTTATTTTACCTTCATCATTTACAGGTTCAAAACAATATATTTAACAGTTATATCAAGATGCTATGGCTACTATAAGAGAATTTGGTAAACCAACTTTTTATAACTGTTATCTGTAATCCCACTTGGCCTGAAAATACCAGAGAACTTTTATATAGCCAAAAATCTAATGATAGATCAGATTTTACTTCAAGAGTCTTTAAATTAAAATTAAAAGAAATCACTACTGATTTATATAAAAAAGTATTTAGAATGCAATATGGCTCATATTCAAGTAATTGAATTTCAAAAATGAAAATTACTATATGTATATATACTTAAAATACTTATTCCAGAAGATAAACCACAAACTTCTAATGATTTTGACAATTTAATATCTGCTAAAATTCCAGATACAACTACACAACCTTAACTTTAAAAATTGTTATTCAACATATATAATATGGTTCTTGTGGACTTTTAAAACCATCTTCTCCATGTATAAAAGATAGTACCTGTAGTAAGTATTATCCATGTAATTTCTCTAATATAACTATTATGAATAAAAATAGTTTTTTTTTTTTTTTTTTTTTTTTTTTTTTTTTTTTTTTAATATTAAGGTGACCACTTAGGTCCCCGGCACTTAGCTTTATTCAGATA